AGAAAAAGATTGCATGCGACAACCACCTGATCGTCCTGTGCATTGAGACCACCAGCAGTCTCCCCAAGCGTAGAAAACGAGCGATCGCCGAAGAAGAAAAAGAAGAAAACGGAGAGAGAAACACAGAAAACGGGATTCAAAGGGGGGACTCTGAAGCTGTAGAAAAGAATGAGGAAAAAGATGAGGAGGCAGCTGATCTTACCGCTTACAGCCCGGTCTCACAGCCGGTGGAGTCGACGAGCGCCCAGTTCAGCGACAAACAACAGACAGAGAGTCACAATACTCTCCGCACGCAACAGAAACCTCCACCTCTTATCCAGGATCTCTATCTTATTTAAGCCAAGATTAGCATAAAGAAAACGAATATTATATATAATCCTTACGCTCTCGTGTACTCTTCCTCTTTCTCGTTTTCTTTCATTCTCTTTCAACTGCGAAGATGAGATTACCGTAAATAAGGTTTGGAGCAACACGGGTCTAGACAGACTTACTGAGGTAACGCGACTATATAAATATACTCTAATGCCATTCTCTCTGTTGCCTGTTCTCGTATTTATCAACGATGTCTTCCTTTCCCCGTGTCTTCCGCCGTGTTTATCCATCTACTGATTTTCTTTAAAAGAGATGTTAATTGTTCTTATTCTCGCATCAGAGGATATAAGGCCGATCCGCCATGATAGATGTCTACCATTTTCGACCTTACAAACCAAGTCTTCCACGTGTGATAAACGCCTTTTTGATATCTTCCAGGTTTATGCAAACGATGTCTTCCAATATAAACCAAATCTATATATAGATATAAAATATACATTAATATTTGAAAAGTAGCGACGAAGTTTGACCGTAGTAAATAATTTTACAATATATTTAAGCACGTCTCTTCCATGGCAGATGGTGTTTTGATGGTACCTGTATATAATTTTTTTTTTTTTTTTTATATATAAACGATTCATATATTGTGGTCATGAATGATAGAATAAATATATAGATGTATGTATATGTGTGTATATATATTCAAGATGCTTTTACAGTGTGGTGCAAGAGCCTTTTAGACTTTGACTTGTCATTGATAGATACAGATTTGTCAGTACTTGTACCAGAATATCTTATAATGTCGTTATCACATGAATATTTCTCACAGACTGTCAAATCACGTGTTCACTCGTGTATCCCGATTTCTTTTTCTTTGTCACTTCCTTCATTTCTATAATGAAGTGTAACCTATTGCCACTTTCGACGTTTGTAATATATTCAAGCTTTGAATATCGAAAAAAATGAAATTAGTAAAAAATATAAACATTTATGTGCTATTCGCTACAAAATAGAAAAAAATGTAATCTTAAACAAAGCTTGCAAAGCTTATCCATAATACGCTTAAAGTTGGACATTTCTAAATAAGCTTTTCGAATTTCCTGTATATATAAGACTTGCTTCGTGTATTAACCCCCCCTCCCCCTTTTCCCTTTAGCCCATGTGCCCGATTACCCCCCCCCAAAAAAAAAAAAAAAAAAAAAAAATCGCAACTTTCCTTAATCTACTCGTACTAATCCTGTAAACTTAATATGCTTTTGCAGGTAAGTCTATCTTCGGCTCACACTTCTCCGTACTTCGTGTATGTGAAAACTCTCCTTGTGCTTCGAGAATGCTTCTTGAGCTTTTATACATAATAGTGTTCCTCAAGGTTACCTTATTCTCCTTTAAGAGTACATACTTACAACCCTCCTCGGACGTCATACTTATTGTAGCTTCAAATAATCCTGCCTTCACTTGTAACATACAGTCACCCTCAAGCTTCACACTTGTAAGCTGAAAATGTTCCAAGCTTCACGTACTCGTCCCAGTGATCGTGCTCAAACTTCACTCTTAAGTAGATTCTCACAAGGCTTCACGCTCTCTCAGTAGCATGTCTTAAGCTTCACACTGATTATAACCTCTGTCACACCCTTCTTGAGCTTTGTAGAATCCGTAAGCTTCACACTTAGGATGAACCTCTCCCATCATCTTGAGGATTGTCTTTTCTTAAAGCTTCAAGCTTCTCACTTCACCCTTCCTCGATTTTCCACGATTTCTTGGCTTCATATGTATCATATCCGCCGTCTTTTTATCAAGCTTCACACATATTACTACATGACCCCCGTTTTTAAGCTTTTTATCCTCCTTAAGCTTCACACATATTACAGCATCAGCCCCCTCTTCTTCTTAAGCTTTCCAACCTCACAAAAGCTTCACACTTATTACATCATCAACTCCCCCCTTCTTAAGCTTTCCAACCTTCCAAAAGCTTCACACTTATGCCATCAGCTCTTCTTAAGCTTCCCATCGCCCCCTAAGCTTCACACTTCTCACACTCCCCCCGTTTCTCGTTTTTAAAAGCTTTTCCAACTCGCATTTTCTCCCATCCACCCAAGCTTACTCCTTCACACAAACCCATTCACACTCATGGTAAGAATATTAAGCTTAGGTCTCATAGATGGCTTCTAGTTGACTCATGCATTTATTC